ACAAATTCATGTATTTTAAACATGCAAACTTCAGGATTAGTAGCAGAAAAGGCATTCAGCTATTCTTCAACAGGGACAGGATTTAGAAATCATCTGACCCAACCTCCCACTCAATGCAGAAGTTATCTGGCAAGGAGTCATTCAACTCTTATTCAAACACTCCTAATGACAGAAGAATACTCAGCCCCCCCTTACCCCCCCTTCATCTTTGGGCAGGGCTAAGATAGCCTACTTAGTTTCCTTTTTTGCACATTTTACCAACTGACTATTGTGATTTATTTTACTGTCTTTTTACCTGAATGTGATATCCATGAGGTCAGAATCATGGCTTTTTGTGTTTGTAATTACTTTTACTGCTGTATCCCCAGCACCCAGAACAGTGTCTGGTATACAAAAAACATAAAATAACTGTGGCAGACTTGGAGCCTCTGAAATCTCAGAGTAATGGCACAGGCTGAGGCTGTAAGGGCTGAGGAACACTGCGATTCCCTGGTCTCCCTCCTCCCATCCTCAGAGCCTCTCCTGCACCACTCTCAGGCTGAACATCTTTACCCCTCATCTGTTCTCTAACGCTTCAGGCTTCCCCACAGGAACGCGCCCTGCTGGATGTGTGGACCTTTCTTTCCCCGTGCCCACGTTATTACTTCCGCATCTGTCGTCCTCTGCTGGCTCTGACACTAAGCCCGGTGAGCAGAGGTTGTGTTAGTTTCTTTTTTCTATCCTGGGCATGGAAATAGTGATAGGGCAATGTAGAAACCTTATAAATGTTTGGTAAATAAATGGAGGGAGTAGTTTTATTGTACCCTGTACAGGTCAAACTACCTCTAGGACTATCTTCAGATCAGGGCACTATTCCCATTCTAGGAAAGGTTTTTATGACAAATGTTGCACATACAAATGTCACAAAGATCAGGTCAATAACACAAGTAAGTATCAAGAGCCTAAAAGGACTACGGCTAAGAGAGGGGTGATCAGGCCCTGTTTTTATATGAAATCTCTTAAATGTAGCCAACAAATTCAAGTGAAAAGAAAAAAAAATTAAATATTACTGCATAGATCTCCAAAACACACATTGTTACACCTTCAAGTAGATTTGGGAGGCGAATTTACAACCTATTTTAGACATGAAACTACTACAATCAGAACTGTGCTTCTGAAAGCCCATTTTGATAGGATAGACTGGGGTGCTATTATAACAGTTAAGGCAAACACTGAGGTAGGGGTCTGAACCAGGACCACAGCCGCGGGCTGACAGAGCACTGCGGGTAGACGTGAAAGATGATCTGACCCATCCAGAGCTAATAACAAAGCCCAACACTTCATGAGCTAAACTGACCGGTTTTGTAGGTTCGTATTGTGAATACTGTCACATCTGATTAATTTTAATCATCTAAATATAGGGGGACTTAATTTATATTTCTTTTGCAGGCAGTATGTTGCAAGCATTAAAGATTATTTTAGGCTTAGGAGCTGGACAGGCTAAATTCAACCCCTGAATTTACTAAATTCCTAGATGGGTGACCTTGTATAATTCACTTGATTTCTCTATTTCCATTCCTATTTTATAGGGTCACAGTAAGCACAAACAAGTGCTTAGACAAATACCTGGTCCGTAAGTTTTAGTTTAAATTATTATTTATCATGTTCTATACTTCGACTTCTTATTTCAATCTATTACATGTTCTGTACACTCTCTAGCTTACATTTGTCTTTTTTCTCTATCTTCATCAAAGCTGACGGTGAAATTGCTAAACAAAATATAACCAAGAATAGGCCAGTAGAACATTACTAAAAACAGCTTTTCCAGATAAAGACCTATTTTAAGCTAAGATCTAAAACCAGTGAGAAATCCAGCCAGGGAAGTACCTGGGAGAACAGCAGCCCAGCAGGGGAGTCACAGATGGACAGTCCCTGAGGGGCAAGTGCTACCTGTCACACCTCAAAGACAGCGGAGAGGCCAGCACGGCTGAGGGGCCTGGCAGGGCGACAGCAGGAGACAAGGGGAGGCAGTCAGGGACCCAGATCACGGAGCCCCACAGCCAGGGAGCCACGATACGTTCATGGAGTTGCTCAACCAGCTCCTAAGCCAGGTCAACAGTTTCTTTGTGTTGGGATCACACAGGAAAACATGAAATACTTAATTTTATCATTTAAAATACTTTGATTCTGTACAATATATCTAAGAAACCTTGCAAAAATGAAACACCCTGATCCATAGACAGACACATAGACAGACACAGATATAGCTAGCTATAAATGCTAATTCTCTGTGGATAGTAAAGGTAATTTTATTTTGCTTATCTCTATTTCTCAGTATTTGTATAATAAACTTGTACTAATTTTATAGTTCAAATAAAACCAAGGCAAAGCTTAGAGGAAAAAGGAATTATTACCAGTTAGCATAACATAGCGGATGTAAGCTGCCTTCTTATGAATCATTGCGTTCTCATCTTTTCCTCAGTAAATTTTGAAATTTTACCAGGGATCACTGGTAAGGTTCCAGGGATCCCCTCAAACCTACACACCCCAGAGGTTAACTCCAGACACATTAACACCTTTATCAGGAGAATCAGAATTTGTCTTAAACCCACTGCTTCCTAGCTACTCACCACCAGGACCCTCGGCCAGGCAGCTCCCCTAGCACACAAGCGCACAGACACACCCCTTTCCAAACCCAGGACTGCAAAAGCTTCTGAACCGGTCTCCTGGTCCCCGCCATGGCTTCCGCAGTGTACATTCCCACAGCAACCAGAATAAGCCTTCAAAACCTAAGTCTGATCACGTGGCTCCTCTGCTCTCAACTCTCCACCTGCTCACACCTCACTTAGAATACAGCACCCCAAAGGCAGCTCCCTGGGCCGTTACCTCTCCTCTCCCACTGCTTACTGCCCCTCCCGGTGGGTCTGCAGCAACACTCAGACCTCAGGGACTTCACACCTGCGGCCTCTGCTGCTGGAGATGCTGTTCTCCCAGGTATTTCCTTGACAGGATGTGTCTGTTTTAGATCTTAGCTTAGAATACGACCTCATCAGAGGGCTCCCCTGGTCACTTTATATAGGGCAGCAATTCCTTAGTTCCATCACTCTCAATTCTACCCTGCTTTTTCTGTTGAATACCTATCACCTGGATGTCATTTACTTATTTCTCTATTTATATCTAGCTATTCATTTATTTTCATCTGCTTTTATCCATTAGAATACAATTCTTATGGGCAAGGACTTTTTCTATTTTGTTTAATGCTATATACTGAACATTAAAAATTATGCTAGTGCTGGGTGTGGTGGTGCATGCCTATAATATCAGCATTCAGGAGGCTGAGGCAGGAGGATCACCATGATTTAGAGGTTAACCTAGGCTACATACGTGAGCTCAAGGCCAGCCTACATTATATAGTATGACGCTGTCTCAAAAAAAAAGTACTAGGCCTATAGATAGTGGACAGTTTTTATTATCAGTGTACAGCCCCATGTATAAATTTTCAAATACGAATAGTTATGTATAGGTTTTTGTGATAAAAATGGATATTTTCTCCAAATTTCAGCAAGTATACTAAAAAGTACTGAGCTCCAATACAAAAGAGACCAAACACTAGCTGTCCTCCATCCAACCAGAATTCTAACCAGGATTTATTTCATAACCTGAAATAGAGAAATGCTCTAGGAAAACAAGAATCCTAAACAAATTTGCCTTGAAGTTTCCTGCTTTCTCAAGAAGAGTTCTCCATTACTCCTCACTATCCCTGCTTCCTAAAAGGGAATGACGTGAGAGGCAAAGGTCTTTTTAAGATTCTTATTTTTTTTTTTTGTTGCCAGGGATCGAACTCATGACCTCGTGCTTGCCAGGCTAGCGCTTAAGCCACTGAGCTAAATCCTCAGCCTCTAAGATTCTTCTGCGAAGCCAGGCATGGTAACAGCATGCCTGTACTCTCACCTGCGGCAGGACAGTCACAAGTTCAAGGGCAGCCTAGGCCATCGAGCCAGCTCCTGTCTAAAATCTTAAAAAGGAGAAAAATAAAGCCCTTTCCTCTGTCCAGTCATCCCTCTAGCCAGCGCCCATTCTCCAGACTCATTACTGTTCTTCCTATCGCTCTACTTCCCACAGACCCGGCTGCAGTGGTGACCAAGACCACCAGGTCCCTCGGGCCCTCGGCGCTGGGGCTCACCCCTCTCTCACACCTGTTTCATCGGAGCTTCCCACTGCCTTCATCAACAGCAGTGAAGAAGGCACTGGCACACAAAGGCACGGTAGCACTTGCTGGCAACCCCAGCTCTCTGGAGGATTAACAAGTTCAAATGCAGTCTGGGAAACTTTCAGTGAGGCCCTCTTTCCAAATTGAAAAAAGCAAAAAGGTCTGAGGATAAAACTCAGTTCAAAGGCCCTGGGTTCAATTCCCAATACCAATGCCCTCCTGCCCCTTAAGAAAAACAAGTATTGGCACACCAATTCCTGAAAAGGCTAGGAAAAGGAAGTAGTCTGTTGATCAACATCTTCTTTAATGTTTGTTTTACTGTGGTTTTTAAAAGTTGGTCATTAACTCGAAGTTTTTCAAAAGGGAAATATTATAGTGTAATGAAAAGAACCCAGGTTTAAAACCTAGTTGTATCATTCACTGCCTGTGTGAATGTGGAGAAGTTATTTAAGCTCTCCAAACCCATGTCCTATGGTGATGGTAACAGCAGCAACTTTAAGGGGTGGAATAAACACTAAGGGAGATAATATTAAATAAGGGTGGGCCTGGCATACAATAAATATTCAATGAACGGCAGTTGTGGGTCTGCTTCTTAAGGTCATCAACTTCATGAAGTATTTTGACCCTCATCAGGTTGGGAGATTAACGAAGAAAACAAGCTTAAAAAAGACATTTAGCTTAGCGTCCAGTTCACAACAGGCCATCAACAAACACTGACTGTCCTCCCTTCCCTGGAAAATCGTTTCAAAGACACGCCCTCCCCCCATCACTGCTGTTAGTATGCCCAGGCTTCACAGTACAGCTTACTTACCATTGAGGTAATTTAAGCTTTCCACCAGTAATTCTGGCTGCTCCTCTGGTGTTTGCTGTCTTGGAAAGAGCCACTATCTTTCAATGGCAGCGGCCTCCTGACCTGCAGGAGTATAAAAAGAAAAGAAGACACAGTGAAGCATGAGTCTTACCAGGGCTAAGCTGACCCAAAAACTTGACACACAGTGCAGTGCTGGAAAAGACAAAACCTAAGAGTGGACCCTCCGTCCTGACAGTGAGAGGAGCCGGCCGTGACTCTCAGGGAAGAGGAGGACTCTGGTTGCAAGACACTTCCCTTTACTAACAGACAGTGACTCGGGGATAAGCTATCTTTCGGTAACAGGCCGTGTATTCCCTGGTAGTCTGCACATACCTATGAAAGCCATGCAGCAGCCCAGAAATCAACCACTTAATTGCCCTTGTTTTAAGGAAAGAAACTGAAACTTGGAAAGAGTGAGTCACACAACTACTTGGGGGCAAAACCAGGATTCTACCAAAAATAAGATATTTTGGAAGAAAAAAATAACAAAGGTCGGTAGGTTGTCTACCATATTCTGGGCACCACGTTTTATGTGAAACAATAACACGATGACAACACTGTCCTTACCTCATAGCTGAGGCATCTAATTTTCAAGAAGACCAGTGACTTGTCTAAGGGCCTCCAGCTTCTTAGTGAACAGTCAGGGTGTAAACCTGGCTAACGTCAGTCCTCAAAGCACCTCAACCACTCACAGCCGTTAGACCCAAAAACAGCTTCCCTGTTGGCACAAGCACCCTCCTCCGGTTTACAATGAGCAGCCTCCCTCAGAAGAGCTGGAAAGGGCAATCTGGCCACTCTGAGCACTGCTCCCTTTACAGAAGATTACCACACCCTACTGTCGACCCTGAGCTTGACAAGAGCGCCAGGTGGTTTCTAATTAGTGGTAACCTAAAGCTTTTCCATGTGGTCTCACATTCTAGCATCTTCTTTTCAGCCTGACTGCCTGTACCCCGCTTCATACAGCCTTGCAGATCACCTTCCGACAGCCTTCAGGACTGCCGGCCCCTTTACCTGATTCCCACACCCCCAAAACACATGCACACAACGGAATCAGCGTATCGGTGCCTCTGCCCTCCTAGAAAACTGGAAGGATAGAGATGGAGAAATAAGATGCTTTTCAAATTGTTTAAAAGATGAGGGCAAACGGAGTCACTGAAGCCTCAAGCCAATTAAGACCTGAAGAAAAACAATTATTGATAACAGAAATAGCCATTTCGAAAAGACGCATTTAAAAAAAAAGATATATATACCAAGAGCAGCAGTTAATGGATGGCTTAGGTAAGAAAAAACTTCAGCTCTCTCTGCCCGCTTTGAAGATCATCTGAAGCAAAGTAAACGTGACTGGTATCCAAACCACTTCAGGTCGGCCCACAAACCTGCTGTCCTGTCTAGACCGTCAGTCTCTTTGCCCTCTTCACCAAGCACCCCCTCTCCCCGCGCGTGCGCACATACACACACACACACACCTCTCACGCCTTCCTCTACACTGCCTACAACCTCTCCTACATAAGAATTCTGAACTATAAAATTGCTAGAGAAATTTGGGTCTTGGTAATTGAATAACCCTGATGTCTTAGACATGTAGTAAATTTTGTGCATTCTCCCTGCTTAAAAAAAAATCCAGTCTCCACTGCAGTCTTTATAGCCCTTACAATGATCACCACCCCGCTTTTAAATTAAAAACAAAACAAAACAACAAACCTACAGTTGCAGCACCCACCACACACTGCCAAATCTGTTGCCAAGTTACTAAGGCCCAGGGAGGGTCTCTTCAGAACAGGATGGAATGCCAGCCAAAGTCAAGTAAACAGGAACTCCAGAGATCCTGATTTGTTTTTAACAGTCTACATTCTCTGCTTATTTCTAAGAAGTAAAAGCACGTAGCACGTGATTTCTCTCTTAGCTTCTGAATGCCATTTACTTCTTGCATCCTCAGTGTGCCAGCAATAAACACCACCAAACTCTTTAGTGCTGCTTCTTTAGAGAACTTTCTACCCTAGAGATCCACCCACATCACCTTGCTCCCGTATCTCCCTCTAGGGCTGCATGTTACTGCTGGTCATGACAGTGGTGGCACACCTTATCTGTATGTCCAAGAATCCTTACAGATCACGCAGGGTCCATGAGAGAGAGTCCTTGCCGACTGCATTTTCCTGAGACCATGTAAGTCCCAGAAAAGAGAAGAGACTTGCCCCAGGCTACAAACAAAGTGAAAATGGTTGAGTCCTTGTGCACCCAAAATACTTCTGTATGTAATGAATAAAAGCATTGCTAGGACATTCTGTTTCCATTACAATCCTCCCAGAGATAACTATAAACTGAATGGATAAAATACAAAACACAATTATCTGAAGTGAACAAAAGCTGGCAGATTTCTGGAAAGCAGCTGAAAATTGGAAGAACTGGCTCCATTTTTTGGAGCTCTGGCCTGAGAGTAATACAGCTGAATTTCCAATGAAAAACGCCCTTATAGGGGCTGGGGATTTAGCTCAGCAGCGTAAGCACCTGCCTTGCAAGCAGGGGGTAGTAAGTTCGATCCCTGGTACCGGTAAAAAAAAAAAAAAAAAAAAAAAAAAAAAGCCCTTACACTTCCTGTCCTGAGGAACCAGAAGGCAGAGCCTAAAGTAGCCACATATGGTGGGAAGTAGGAAATACAAAAACCAAAGAAGAGTCCCAGGTTCTGTGTGCAAACTCTGCCCAAGTCTCTTGGTGAACCTTGAACTACACATGCACAGAGGAAAATCCAAAAACCTCAGCTGAAAGACAAAAGAAATGCACCAAGATTTGAACTGACGCCTCCTATGGTGCGACAGAGTTGGAAGTTTTATTGTAAATGCCTGCTAAAATAAAATATCAATAGAAACCACAGCCTCTGGAAGATAACATTCATAATGTGCAGGACAGTCATCCCAAATTATATTTAAAAGTAGGAAAATTAAATCCATTCTCAAAGGAAAAGGTAATCAGCAGAGGGTTACCCCAATATAACCAAGTCAGAATTATCACACCAGAATAGTGATAGGTTCTGCAGGCATGAAGCATTGCCAGGTGCCTGCCCAACATGGCCATGGGCACTGGAGCGACAGCCTGTCCCTCCAATGCTGACTTCCATGCTCTTTTTCCAAGCCGAAACTGAACTTTCATTTTTTGTGGACGCCAACATTCCCCCAATCAGCTGTCAGTGCGTCACTCTGCCCGCCCTTCAAACTCCACCCCCTGTCAAACCTAATAAAAGCCCACTGCTTCTTTGTCTGCCTCGGAGGGACTTTGCACTCTTCTGCAGCCTTCTCATGCCACAATAAAAATCTTTATTCCTTTTTCTGCTCTTGCTTCTCTACTGCCCCAAGAAAATACCTAACAACAGCAAACACAGGTATTAGAACTAAGCTCGGTGAAGTAAAAGAAAATATGCTCCAAATGAAGGGATAAAACAGTGAGTATCAGACATGTCCTCTTAATTCAAACTATCTCAGTGTTACATAATTACTCAAATTTTTAAAAGATGTAATTAAATTTCATTGTAATCCCAACACTTGGGAGGCAGAAGGATAATAGATTTAAGGGCCAGTCTGAGCTACACAGTGAGACCTTGTCTCAAAGAATTTTTTAGAAGCCATCATAGAGAGATTTCAGTGTATGTCCTAATGGCAGGGTGCTAAAATAGTGCCTTTTGTATGACTGTTTCTAATTCTCCCAGGATAACTTTTTTTATTCACATAACCTTTGAAGATGAGAAGGCAGACATGCTCAGCCCTGATATGAAAACTATAACCTTGTGGTTCTTCTTGAAAACTAGTGACAGACACAAAACTAGAATCCAGCCATCTCTGTACATCAGGCTCTTTTTCACCTTACCAAAGAACTAAGAATATACCCATGAATGGAACAAGAAAAAAAGACTTAAGAACTTTCATACCTTGGGGAAGCATTTATTAATAAACAACTGATAATAGTAACTTGAGATTAGTGAATCTATGTATTTATTTGAGAACTGGCACTCCAGGAACCATCACCCAGCTGTCCATTTCCTCTTCTAATGAACTGAGTAGGCTTCTTTGCAGTTAGTCCATTTGTGAGGCTCCTAATAGAAACACATCTCTAAAACTGTTACTTATTCATCTGCTTTAAGAAAACTGGTTGAACCAAAAGTATATTCTGATCTAACTTCTCGGAGTCTATAATTAAGGTTATCAAGCGGCAGTAAGTAGTACAGCATGTATTGCAAACGTAGTTAAACAGCAAGTCACTACAACTGCACTGAGCAGAAACCAAAAGAGCTTCCATTATCTTTTAGTTTCCATAGTGATCCTAATTAGATAAACTAACTGTGTTTATTTTACAAAGAAAAAGAAAACAAAAGTCTCAAAATCACACTGCTGATAAGCGGTGAAATGGATTCTCCCCCTGGTATTCCTAGTCTAAATTTTCCTGCTCCTCTCTAGTGCATCACCCTTCTAAGTTGTCTCTCAAATCTTGTCACAGGAAAACCAGCCCTGTTCTGCAGCTCAAACATCACAAGCCTACCATGTAATCTGAATAGTTCATTCTTTCATTCAGTCAGCCAAATATCAACCACTTATAAAGCATCAAGCCCTAAGGTCAGCACTGATAAAGCAATGAATGCAAACAGATTTGATCCTTGTGACATTTATAGTCTACTGCAGCAGAAAAAAAGAATCAGTATAAATCATATGAAATACAATTTGGTAGAAATTAACTCCCACAGGAAGGCACCCTAATGAGAATATTCTAGGTACAAGTGTGGGCACGGTGAATTTGAGAAGTCAAAAGTCTATCTCAGTGGTCAAATGGAGAACAAGCAGAAGTATGAACTCAGAGGAAGGGAAAGCCACGCCACGCGAGCCCTTGGAGGACAAACCCTGGACCTGGATCTCCATCCAAAGAGCTATAGGAAGTCATTTAGGTATTAAATAGACAAAAGACAGACACATTCCAAAAAGAGCACTTTGGCTTCAGTATAACAGATGAAAAGAAGTAGGAAGATGCCAAGAGATGAGCTAGGAGGCCAATTCTATAGCCCAGGAAAGATGATGGCAGTAACA